GTTTGCAATGCAATGCAAAACGTGCAATTAATATGAAAACTTTTTTTTAGACGATAAAATTATAATAAAATTACAATAAAATTAATTTATCAGTTGTATTAAATATAGTAATATAGGAATAGTAATAAAAAATTTATTACATATAATCATTTCAATCACCCAATCAGCACTAAAACTTGCAGAAAACATGCAAGATGTGCAAGATTGCAGTGCAAACATGTAGCAAGTTTGGTGCAAGCAACAAAATGTCCTCTTGTGGCAAGCTTGCAGAGCAACGTTGGCACAAGCTTCCTACAAGTTTGCAAAAATTAATACGATGCGCAGTTGTAAACGGAAGTTCCTACGGCTGCGCAATAAATTTTTTAACCTCCAAAGCAGGATGCCCTTTATGTTTATTTAGTAACAAATTGTTTCGAAAAAATTTTTGTTTAGTATTATACAAGCTTGCAGCAAGCTTTTTGCAAGTTTGCTTAACTACCATGCCACAAGAGGACATTTTATTGCTTGCACGAAACTTGCTACATGTTTGCACTGCAAACTTGCACATCTTGCACGACAAACTTCCAGCAAGTTTGCTGCAAGTTTTCGTGCTGATTGGGCAGTAACAATTTTCTTTTCTACACAGTGGGTCAGAACGCATCCAAAAGTCGACTTTAGAATTTTGAATCTAATAACTTAAATCTATAACATTTTATGTAACTTTTTGTAAAATATTATAGTTATTTGTCAAAGATTATTGCGGTGATCGTATGTTTGTTAGAAAATTTGATTTGAAAATTCAAAGGACACTATCCTCTTAAATATTCATTAATTTTTTTGAAATGCACTTGCTATTGTTTGTTAGTTCTCCTTACTTCCGCAAGATATAAAGGTCACTTAGCATAGAATCTCTTCTTAATTAAATGTACTTTCAATTAAAGTTGTCCTTTTTTTAATTTCGTGGAGTTATATATAAAATAAGGTGAAAATTTTTTTCTTGAAAATCATTTTTTACAAAGACATATTTTAGTCTACGTACATCGATGCTCTTTTGTTTTTATTTCTCCCTGCACATAGAAACCTCACATTTGATTGTATATTTTCTGTTTAAACAGTTAATAAAAGTGTTACAGAAGCACATTTTGAATTATATGGAAATTATCTAATTATTAATTTAAAAATTTTTTTTAGATATACCTCCTCGTGGTAGACCCCGGAAACTACCGATTATGTAGGCTAACCGCAGACTTTTTAATTATAAATAAAAAAAGGTTTCATGATTATTTATCAATGTTTTAAAAAAATAATCAACCATATTGGGTTCGAAATTTTGAATTTCATAAATCTGACCTCAGATTCGTAATCAGCGACATCGAAAACCCCTAGACATCGAATTTCATAATTATTTAAAAGGTTTTATCAAATTTCATCCGCCATATTGGTTCCGCCATTTTTAATTTCGTAAATCTGACCTCATATTCATAATCAGCGACCTCGAAAACCCCTAGACATCAAGTTTCATGATTATTTAAAAGGTTTTTTCAAATTTCATCCGCCATATTGGATCGGCCATTTTGAATTTCGTGAATCTGACCTCAGATTCGTAATCAGCGACCCTGAAAATCCCTAAATACCAAGTTTCATATAAATTCGTTGCAATCTTAAATTATGGCCGCTTTTGGATGCTTTCTGTCCCAGTGTGCTATGAAATTTATTGATTTGAAAAAATACACTGAAATTTACAAAATTTTACCTTAAATAAAACATTATCTATTTGCAACTATTATCGTGTGAATAACGAATAAATATTTCATAAATGCCTTCTGTTTATATTCTTTTCTTTGATCGTTCCTTATTTCTTGTTTTTCAGCTTCCTTTTTTCGCTTTTCCCTCCTTCTTTCACGTTCAATTATTTTGTCTTCAAACATTGCTTGTCAATATTTTGCTTACTTTGACATAAACGTTATAAAACAAGTAAATGCGCAACTTATGGTTGATCAAGGAGTATCAGGGATACGAATGTTTAAAGTTCCAGAGATTCTACCATAAGTCAAGAGTATTAGTGATTATAAATTATTACAATTTCAATTTTTTTTTAAATGAACTTGTACAAGAACCTGAACGGTTTCATGTATGAGTGTTTGTTCATGAATTTACATAAGAATATGTGCAGGAACATGTAGTCACCCTACCAGAAGTGTGGTACTGAGGAGTTAGAACTGAGGGTTTAGTACCAATTTGGTACTGAAATAGAACTGGAAACTTTACCTGCAAAAAGGGTTGATTTACCGTTAATACCTTCATAAAAGTGAAAAGCGAAAGGCTTTTTCAATATGTTTAAACTAATATCTTATATTTATTTTAACATTATATTTGTTTTTCATGGATTTATATTATTTTCATACATTATTATGTATATGGATATGTCCTTTGGCAGCTAAATTCAAAACTGATGTCTATTTTTTTGTAAAACTTAAGATATACGAGATAAATTATAACTTTTTTAAATGTAAATATTTTATGAAAAATTTTAGATATTCATAATCTGAAAAAAGAAACGAATCTCAGTATATATTTTTTAAAGTTGAGTTATTAAAATTACACATTTTTTAAGCAATAAAACTTGGGTTACAATTATAATCCTTTAACGAAGGACCTAAGGTTCTATTGTTGAAGGAGGGATGGCAATATAATTTCCAAAGTTAACGGAAAAATTTTCTTCAAAGTATTGTTTTTTTTGCTGTTTCACGCGCGTATCGTGAGTGAAGTTTTGTTAATTTAACATACCTTTAAAACTATTATGTTAAAGTACTTTAAAAATGTCTTCCGATGGGTAATCAGGTAGTGGTACTGAAGTGGAACTCAAGTCAAGTCCAGTTCAGTACCATTCCAGTACCACTCTTTTTGTAGGGCACGTAGTACGATGAAATTGATATAAGAACTCACATGATTTCGTACAGACAAACTCTCGTAAGATCTCTTGTAAATTCTTATTTACGACCTAAACATAGATCTTGCGAACGTTTTTACAGTAGGGCTATGTATGTTTTATTTTAACTCTCTGCCTGTCCAGTTAACCGTTATGGACAAAAAGCGGCAATTCGGTCGCCTGGTGAAGAATATGGGAAATACATTAGGTTGTTCAAGTTGGGTGGGGAAAATCCAAAATAGCGATTAAGCGGTGCACAAACAAGAATTAGTAGGATGAAGTCGAATTTTTAATATCTTGCATAAATGAAATTTTGGAACCTAAATGTGTGTATGGACGTGTGTACGTGTGTGTGTATGTCACAAAATATTGTGTACAAATTATCTCAGAAGCGTTTTAACGCATTGTCCTGAAATTTTGTATGCTTATTGTAATTATTAATACCTAAAATCTGACACAAGGATTTCCGAATATATTCACAACATTATTTTTTTTACACTGTTTTCAAAATATTTTTTTCTTTGTAAATTTAATTTTGTTTGGTAAAAAAAACTTTAACTTAACTCAGAAAATAAAATATAAAAGTTATTTTTATGTAATTTTTCTATTTTCAAAATCTGAAAAAAACGTCTTTTAGACATGATAAAGACATCTTTATGAACAGACATACAACCTTTTTTGGACGTACCTTAGGCGTATTATTCACTTTTTTAAGATATACCATACGGGGACAAATTAAAGACGTCTTTAAGACGTCCGCAAAAAGACATCCTCAGGACGTCTTTTGAGCAAGTGTGCCCACTGGGAATATTATGGACTTTTTCAAGTTTTAATTTCTTTAATTCTGTTATTCATTAACTTTTTATAAACATGCCAATCAAATTAGTATTCGACAAGGAAATATAACCATAGATATCTTCTTTTTAATTGAAGTTTAACTTTCCTTTGTTTTCTAAATTCTAAAAAATAATTCTACACAGTATTCAGAGCTGTGAGAAAAGTAGTTACGACTTCGATTACAGAATTTATTGCTATATTCGTAGCTCTGAATAATCTGTTGTCACGAAATTCTGATTACTGTTAAAAAAAGGAGTGATCATTTTCTGCAAAACATTAAGTGCTATGTGGAGAACATTCAGAACTCTGGAATTTATTTCAATTGGTTTCATAATAAAAACGATAATGGAATTTAATTTTTTGGTTTACACAGTAGCCAGTGCTGTGAAAAAAATACTTAGTGCTTTCAGATTTTTTCCGTGTAGCTGAAATTTTTTAAATTAATGAACCCACATAGCACGACTTCTTGCTGTGAGGTTACTATAAGGATATCTGTAGGGTTTGTAAGGTTACCATGTAAAGGCCTGAGCAGAACAGCTTCGCGAAAACAATTCACTAACGTTGTTCATGAGTTAGAAAAGGACACTTTATCTTCTTCTAACGCATGCATTTCGTTTGCAAACGACTTTCGCAAAATTATTGTGCGTTAGCCCTAAGCCTACAGTAAACTTGAGGTCATCTTAAAACTTCCGCCATTACAGTAAGCTTACACAGTATAGCTAAGGTAAGTTTACACAGTAAGCTTGTGGTAAGCTTACACGGTAAGGTTGTAATTAATAAATAAATTTTATTAATATTTAAGCGCAGTAGTTTTCTATGGCACATACGGCTGCGCAGTAAATTTTATTTAACAAACCCTATTAGAGTTCATGAAGTACTTTACCAAATATATAATTTTTTATAAAAAAAAATTTATAATATAATATATATTATAATATAATTATTTTTAATATATTTTCATATTAGTCTATGTTTACAGTAACCTTAAGGGAAGCTTACCTTACCGTGTAAGCTTGCCACAACCTTACCATGTAAACTTACCACTACCTTACTGTGTAAGCTTAAGTTAGCTTTACTGTGTAAGCTTACTGTAATTGCGGAAGTTTTAAGATGACCTCAAGTTTACTGTATTAGGCTTACACGGTAACCTTACAAACCCTACAGATATCCTTACAGTAACCTAATAGCAAGAAGTCGTGCTATGTGAGAAGTGTTTTATAACTTATTATTATATGGTTTAAATTTTCTGTTACAGCATCTCGTTTATTAAGAAAAAAAGTACCATGTACAGGTCACTTGATGACCCCCCGCCGTCTATGGATTCAAAAGGTTCCAACTCAGGTTTGTACAAATGCTAATTAATTTCAAAATTATTTGATGTGTCAAAGAGATTTTTAATTTACTTCAAAATAATAAAGAAGTATAAGTAAAAGTTTCTTAGATTCTAAATGAAATTAATCTAGGCAAATGTTAAAATTTTGTAATTTATTATTTTACTATAATAAAGATACTACCACCCAAGTAGCGTGTAATATTACAGTAATATTAAAATATCCACCTCATGATGATATTACTGGTTAATATTACACGCTTTTATTTGAAATACATTAAACTTTCAAAGTTTTTTTTACATAAAGCAGAAAAAGATAATAATTATTCAGTCAAATATTATTATAGATATAATATTTTAGTATGACATCAAAGTTGGCATCCCTGCGCGGTGAATCTGTCACTCTTCGCTTTTATTTCTTTTTGAAAAATTATATATTTCTTCCCAGTAAAAAAAACTAATTAAAATTAATATAAATGAATTCCCAATGAGAAAAATACCATTGGCGTATTAATGGCCCAATAATGGGAGCCAGGGATAATTTCAATAATGGAACCCAATAATAAGCCAATATTAAAAATTTTAATAATTTAAAAAATCAATTATTTAAAAAAAATTCTTTTTGCTTCCTCGTGGAGGAAGCTTTGTAGTCCTTTCGTTTATAAAATTTTTAAAAATAGTGAAAACAAATTTTCCTCTATATAGAAACATGTTATATGAGATCCTGATCAATGGTTTGGTAGGCTCATTTAACACATTAATCTCTCAAAAATGACGAGAGGATTTTTAAAAATACCCCCAAAAATATTTTATCGTCTTTTTTCCAAAAAATTTTTTTTTAATTCAAAAAATTTTTAAATCGAAAAATTTAAGATAATTAACTATAATAATCTTGGTATTCATTCATTCATTCATTCATTCCGTCCGGACCCCTGCTGGGTTTTCGGTGACAGAGAAAAGAACAAGTTATGGAGAGAGAAAGATATATCTTTATTTTGCAAATGAGGGTTCGCTTGACCTGCAATCTTTTAAAGAGGATTAATTAATAACTCTGAGGACCCAGGTAATAATTTCTTTCTCCCTTTATCACGTGAAAAAACTATAAAGAAATTCTAAAACTGAATAGGTAACGCATACCTTTCTTTCTTACACCAAGGAATATAACATAAGTACTTCTTCGTTTAACATTGCGTTTCTCTATCTAGACGATTGAAAATGGCATAAGAACATCTTCGTCTAAAATCTTAATCTTCTTCCTTTTTGTTTTGAAAATAAAAATAAATATATATCTATATATATGTGCATACCTGTATTAGAGTCCCTGAAAATTGTAATAAAAAAATTTAAAAATTATTACCTAGGTTCTCAGAGTTAATCCTTATCAACAAAGGTTCTATTGTCTAAGGGTATTTTTCCATGTAATAAATGAGAGAAAACAAATTATTACCTGGGTCCTCAGAGTTAATTCTCATTGATTATTTAACAAAGGTTCTATTGTCCAAGGGTTGTTTTTTTGTGGTAATTAATCCGGGGTTTTAATACAAGTGTATATATGTATATATGGTATCTGTAATGAACTACTGATTAATCTTATAAGAGTGTCCTTTTGTACTTATTGGCTGATCAGTAGTTACTCATTCATAGTTCTCTCATTCTATTGGATATTGGTAGTTGTATTGGATAAAAGGCAAAATTGGTTATATTTAATAAAAGTCAAAATTTGTTATATTGGAGAGAGTGAGCGAAAGGATTAAAGATATTTAGATTTTCATGAATCAAAAATAAAATTAAACGAAGTATACTATGGCCATCATAAAAGAGTATGTTATTTTAAGTGATGAAGATTTAAAAATTGTTAAAAATAGAAATAAATTGTTAAATGACATGCATATGTACAAATTTAAAGATTTATTAAGAAAAGATTCCAATTCTTTTTTCAATATGCAAAGTACTTTGTATGTACAAATGCTTGATTTTATTGTCCCAATTAGAGAAGGTGAAAAACATATTCAAATACTTTTTAGCGGTAATAACAATTATGGTCATTGGATTTGTGTCTATTACGATTGAGTAAGGCTTTATACTTTTTATAGCCTTAATGAGGGGTGTTTAAATGTGCATCAAATGAAATATTTAATTAGATTGTTCCCTTTTAAGCCAACAGTAGTTTTTGTAGTTGTTGATCAATAACCTTTTGGGAGTGTTGAGTGTGGAGTATATGCAATAGCATTTGCAACATCTATATTTTTTAACGTAATGTCAAGCAGCGTAAATTATGAAACTGATAATAACAGAATGAGAAATCATTTAAAGTCAATGTTTGAAAATAATCGCTTAAATCATTTTCCGTCAATAAGAACGTCTCACAATAGGAATTCGATAATAAAGAATGATTGGAACCGTCTTTTCATAAATCGAGCTCAGGAACTAAAAAATAATATTTTAAACCCTTGTTCTGTTGTAATACTTTTCCCAGCAATAATATTAACAGAGTTCTATTAACACAATATTTAGAAATTAAACATTCTCTAAATGACACTAGTGAAGAGAAAATAATTGGTACAACTAATAATAAGATGAACAAAATTTCACCACTTGAATATTCAGAAATGAAGAATTTTCTGAGTGAAAAAATTGATAAAAAGATAATTCTAGCAATTAAAGAAAAGAGAAGGCAACGCGCGAAGTTACATATGAACAGAAAATAATTAGACAAGAGAATGGTAGATTGAGAAAACGTAATCGTAATGAAACAGAAATACAAAAGAAAGAGCGCAAAAAAATTTGACATGCAAAGAAAGAAATTATCTATAGAAAATAAAGATGAAAAGAAAATACACAAGGATAAAAATTTGGCATGTAGGAAAAGAAAAATATCAATGGAAACTCAAAATGAAAAGAAAGTGCGTCAAGAAAATAATTTGTCATGTAAGAACAAATTTTCTACGGAAACGGAAGATGAAAAGAAAGTGCGTCAAGAAAAGAATTTGACATGTGAAAACGATAATCGAAATAAAAAAGTGTAGGAGTTGCAATAATGTCTTTTAAAGTTTTCAATGAAAGTAAGGTTCCACAGAATTATTTAGGTTTGATGAATGTAGAATGTAAGTTTTGTTATGCGTTACATTTTCTGTGTGATAGACCGTCACATAGATTAATTAGTAGTTGCTGTCATATGGGAAAAGTAAAGTTAAGCACCCAAGTAGCACGGAATATTGGTTGAATGTAACGTTGATATCAAGTGGGAATATTCCTGTGACATTCAGGCGATATCATAATGTCTTCACGGGGACATTCCTCGGTGATATTCACGTGTGATTTTCATGATATTGAGGGAATATTCCCGTGAAATTTTTGTGATATTGAGTGAATTATTCCTCTGATATTGAGGGAATATTCCAGTGATATTGATAAGATAATTTATAAAATTCCAACACAAAATTTCGTTTTTTTCATTTATTTATTTGTTTAATTAAATATTCAAAACAAACAACATTTTAGAATTTTCTAAATTACAGGAATATTCTCTCAATATCACAGGGATATTTCCTTAATATCCCAGGAATATTTTCTCACTATTGCGTGAATTTCACGGGAATATTCCCTCAGTACCATACAAATATCACGCGAATTTCACAAGAATATCACCGTGGAATGTCCCCTTGAAGCGGACATTATGATATCGCCTGAATGTCACAAAATATTCCCGCTTGATATCACCTTGACATTCAAGCAATATTCCGTGCTCCTTGGGTTATAGATTTAATATGAAGAAATTTTTTTTAAATTTCTAATATTAAATTTTTTGAAAAAAAGAAGTGAATAGAGATATGGTTAATGCACACGAGCAACGTAGTCGGCCGCTTGCGGACGACAAAGTTGCTAGTATATAATATAATCGTCTTCCTTATGTCAAGATGAATCAATTGATATATATGAGAGATTCTTTTTCAATCGCCCCAGCCCAAAAAGTCAATGTTCTGGGATTGGCTTCATACTTTGGTAAATTGTTGTCCTATATGATAGTAATAAATCCCTAAAATATAAACTCATTAAAAAAATATTTGTAGAAAGTAGAGGGGGTTGAAGTTTTGACGTTAAGGGTAACATTGTCATATTCAAATCCGTTAAACTATGACAAAAGTTAATGGATTTTAATTTATCTATAATGAATTTTATTGCATTTTTCACGTACTTTTCAAAAATGTATACAAAATTTAAAAAAAAAAAATTTTGACCCCTTTTTTTTCAAAATCAACCCTTATTTTTCGATTTTCACCCCTTCGGGAATTTTTTTTGTTTTTTTTTTATTTTCATTGAAAAGCTGAGGTTTTTTCCCATGAGCTATGTAAATATAAAAATGGGACAACAATAATTTTGTGAGAAACATAATATTAAATTAGGCGGTGCCTATCTAAATCCTCAAAGATGATCTCCAGGTACACCCCTTATCGGCACCGCCTACTTTAATATTCTGTTTCTCACAAAATTATTGTTGTCCCATTTTCATATTTACATAGCTCATCGGAAAAAACCTCAGCTTTCCAATGAAAATAAAAAAAAAAAAAAAACATACCCGAAGGGGTGAAAATCGAAAAATAAGGGTTGATTTTGAAAAAAAGGGGTTAAAATTTTTTTTTTTAAATTTCGTATACATTTTTGAAAAGTACGCGAAAAATGCAATAAAATTCATTATAGATAAATTAAAATTCATTAACTTTTGTCATAGTTAAACGGATTTGAAAATGACAATGTTACCCTTAACGTCAAAACTTCAACCCCCTCTACTTTCTACAAATATTTTTTTAATGAGTTTATATTTTAGGGATTTATTACTATCATATAGGACAACAATTTACCAAAGTATGAAGCCAATCCCAGAACATTGACTTTTTGAGCTGGGGCGATTGAAAAAGAATCTCTCATATATAAAGTATAGATTTGATTGAAATTTAAAAAATTAATGAAAGTTAAAAAATCAAAAATTCACATTTTAGCTAAAAAATGTTGTGTTTATTTAAATTCATGTTTATATATGAAATAATTTTATTCCCTGCATTGAAACGAATTAGTTGGTATATATAAAGTATAGAGTTGATTTAAAATTTGAGAATTAATAAAAATTAAAAAATCAAAAATTCATATTTTAGCTAAAAAATTTTGTGTTTTTTTAAAATTCAAGTTAATGAATAAAATAATTGTATTCCATGCATTGAAACGAATCGATTTGTATTGTATATAAAGTATATGTTACACCCAAAATTAATTAAAATTCTCTTAATTATTCAAACAATTTAATTAATTTAAAACAGTTTTAAACTCGAAATTTTTTAAATCAATCCATTGAATTGGAGAAATTCATAGCTTCCTCCACCAGAAAGCAAATTTTTTGCTTCACACAATGTGGAAGCAAAAGGTTTATGAAATAAACATAAAAGACCCCCTCCTTGTTTTATTTTTATTATTTTTTAATTACTAGTTATTATTATTATTTTAAATCTAATAATTATATTAAAATAAAAAAATGATCATCACAGTATTACACTCACGAATTCAAACGAATTGACTAACACATTTATTGAATTCGTACAGACGAATTAGAAAGAATTAAAACTTAGAAAACTACTTCACTGAAATCGAACGAATTGAGGGTTCGTCAGTTCAATAGAGGTTTGTCGAATTCAGGAGAATTGCAACATAGCTCCAATTCGTATTTGTGGCTAAACGGGATTCACCAAAGCTCTTCGTAAATTCAATTCAATTCACGTTAATCCTTTTTCGTTTACTAGGTTATTCCAGATCGGCTTTTTTACACTTCGAAACATTTATTCTATTTATTTATAATGTAAACTCGAATAAACAAACGTCAATTCAAATGTTCAAGAGAAAAGAATTCACGGTAAAAAAAATAATTTACCGTAACGTTCCAATTCGATTTTTTCGCCAAACCGAATTCAGCTTAAGATACCACCAATTCTTTTCACTTACTCCCAATTATTTTTTTACTGGGCTATTAGGTCAAAGTGTCCGCTTGTAAGCAAATAATGACACAAAACTCAAAATTTCTTTTTTAAAGAAAAAAATTTTTTAAGAAAATTTTTTTTAACTTTATGTAAAATATTTCTTGAGATATTTTGAACCTTTAGATGAAATATTTTTTAAAAAAATTAAGAAATATCATGTGTGTATGTGAAGATTGAATATTTAAAATAGAAAATGACATTATTTATTATTTAGTTATAATTTTTATTTAGGAGTGCGACGTCGTTATCATGTTTCCGAGTGGAGCAAGCGACGAAACCTTAACTTGGCTTCTAGGTAGGCTACGATCAGGGTCATCAGGATTAGTTGTACATGTTCGTCACCACGCTTCGTCCGATAGTTATGGATTTTATCTGACAGCGCCATTTCCTGTGTAAGTATAATACCTTTATTTTCACGATAATTAAATAAGTATCCTTTTTCTCAGTTTGGAAACAAGAAAGTCTAGAAAAATTTGAGGAGAAAATGTTTCCATTAAACAATAAAACGACGATCTACACGTTTTACAAATGATAAAAAAGGATGCGACGCAGCGCATCAATTAAATTTGCGTACATAAATTATACTGAATATACTCTTAACAACTTGACGCAGTCAATTGTAAACCATAGTAATGCCGCATTTATTTTTCACATTTTCTATTCTTCTAAATGCGCTCCAAATGGACTTATATATAGTCAATATATAGAAATAACCACATCTACACCACTTTTCAAATTTCTTTCTTCTTATGAAATAATTTATTTAAACAAATTGTTATAAACAAATAAAATGAAAATTAAAAAAAAGTCAAACATATTTCTTTAGTACTTCTTCCCGTATAATCGAATGGTGTCTTTACTTTTGAAAAATCCATTAATTTTGTTAATTTGTTTATAATAATTTGTTTAAACAAATTATTTTTTAAACCATTTTTAACGTCAATTGTAATGATTTGGACCGCAGTCACTTTTCTTATATTGACCCAGGTGCGAATTGTCGGTCGGGCCATGGTTGGGCCAACCTTGTGAATGGTCGTACCAACTTTGGCAACCAAAGGTCGGCCGAACTAGCGAATTGATAACGGCCGCCAACCAATGGCTGACAAAGTTGGACCGACTATCGGTACCAAAGTTGGGCCATCTATGGGCGCCAATGTTTGGCCGACCTTCGGAGAAAAGTTTAAAAAATGATTATTTATTTCTACAATTAATATACATAGGGTATTATCTTAAATTCATAATTTATGTGTTGTTTACATCTTAACATTAAATGCAATCTTATACATACATATTTAAAATAACTAACGCTTACTGGGATCGAACTCGCAACCTAACGCACCGAAGATTAAGGGGTCTACCCACTTTAGACGCGCTAAAATGAAGGCTGTTTTCCAGAATTTTTCTGAGTGGTTTATATTATAAATATTGACATATAAGTTGTTAGACTAAAGAAATACACTCCCGAAATACATGAAAAAATTTTTGTTATATGTTTTTGTAAATTTTATATGCTTGCAAATGGTAGTTGAAAAAAAAATCCCCCAAAAAAGATGGGTCCACGCTGTTGATGAAATCTCTGACATGGATTGTCCGAAACCAAAAAATCAAAAAGTTTTAGATTCGGTGTGTTAATAGCTATTGCGCATATCAAGGGATTTCATATCAATTCATGTCAGAGATTTCATCAACAGCGTGGACCCATCTTTTTTGGGGGATTTTTTTTTCAACTACCATTTGCAAGCATATAAAATTTACAAAAACAAATAACAAAAATTTTTTCATGTATTTCGGGAGTGTATTTCTTTAGTCTAACAACTTATATGTCAATATTTATAATATAAACCACTCAGAAAAATTCTGGAAAACAGCCTTCATTTTAGCGCGTCTAAAGTGGGTAGACCCCTTAATACGCTAACCACTACGCTACGCTCGCATGGGAACTTAAGAACAAAAATAATTTTATAAGGTGCAATTAAAAAAAAATTAAATTTGTAATTTATAACGATAAATGAATGAGATAACCTTTCTAACTTTACAGTAAATCAATTACAGCTAAATCGATTAAAACTTAAATTTTTTTTTTTGATTATGGTAATATTGAAATCTACTTGATAATGGTCGGCCCAACTGTGGGCCACTAATTGGCCGACTTACATAAAATTATAGAATATTAAACTGAATAAAAACAAAATTATTCATGACAAAGTCCATCCACAATAATCTTGATATATACCGACTGCCGACAACCATTGGCCCGACTTTGGTCAGAGTTGGCCCGACCTTTTAGAATTAGGGTTTTTGAATTTTGGCTGCCATAGTTCTGCCGACTATCGGCCCGTCTTTAGCCAGAGTCGGCCCGACCTTTTAGAATTCCCAAGAAGCACGTAATATATCCTTAATATCAAGGTAATATTACACGTGAGATTCGTAATATAACGCTGTAATATTACAGTAATCTTACAGTGATCTTAAAATGTCCGCCTCAAGGTAATATTACCGGGAATATTACTGTAATATTAACGGTAATATTACAGTAATATTACAGACTGATTTGAGTTATTCATAAAGCATAAAAAACGTAAATATATTATATAAGTCAATTTGGCTTGTTGGTAAAACTCTGGACTCGTGTGCTTTGAGTTCGGGGTTCGATTCCCTGGATGGGTAGATTTTTTTCGTAAATAAATGTTCCCATAATATTACTGTAATATTCTCTTGTAATATTACCTTAATATTACGGTATAATATTACTGCAATATTACTGTAATATTACCTTAATATTAGCGCGTAATATTACAGTAACATTATCGGTAATATTACCTTGAGGCGGACATTTTAAGATCACTGTAAGATTACTGTAATATTACAACGTTATATTACGAATCTTACATGTAATATTACCTTGATATTGAGGTTATATTACGTGCTTCTTGGGTTAGGGTTTTTGAACTTTGGCTGCCATAGTTCTGCCGACCATCGGCCCGTCTTTGGCCAGAGTCGGCCCGACCTTTTAGAATTAGGGTTTTTGAACTTTGGCTGCCATAGTTCTGCCGACCATCGGCCCGTCTTTGGCCAGAGTCGGCCCGACCTTTTAGAATTAGGTTTTTTGAACTTTGGCAATCACAGTCGGTCCAACTTTGGGTGAAAGTAGGAACCAAAGTCGGGCCAACTTTGGCTGCCGAGGTTTCGGCAGCCATAGATGGACCGACCAAGGCCCGACGTACCAACTATGGCTGCCGACCTAAATTCGCACCTGGGGATTTGTCTAATACTTCAATGTCTATTTGCACGTGCTCAGATGGCTAAATCCCAGTGCATTTTTTGTTTATAAATTATTTATATAATAATAATTTTTACCGAAGATCCGAAGATTTTGGTATCTCAACCTGTGGAATTTTGAGCATAAAATTTTTGCACGAGAATTCTCCCTATCTAAGGTTTCATTTTCATAATGGGGACTCCAGAAATCTAGAAAAACAATAACACTTTCGGCTATTAACAATAGCGTAAATGAAGGGTTTTTAAAAAGAATATAGAGACTGAAGAAGGGGTAGTTATACAAGATTGTATTGTTTCATATATTAACGGTATGATGAAAGTATTTGCAATAAGCCCAAATTTTCTGCGATAGAAATTCAGGTGTGCAATTTTGTAGAAGTAGGTAATGTAAATCCAATTGAACCAGAATTAACTCCGTCAAGTGTGCGCTTGATTCGTTTGCTCGAAAGTATGGATCTCGCTTCTTCAAAAAAAGATAAGGATTATCTTTTCGTTTTCCTCATCAACTATTCTCATTGTTTTTAGAAGGCGATTCTTTAAAGGCTACCGATGTAGTAACCCTGTGGGCAAAAAACCATGTTCGTTCTGAAAACGTTTAAAGGACGTTCTTAGAACATTTCATGTCCACCAAATAATGTTCTGGAACATTTAAAGAACATGGATGTTCAAATAATGTTCCAGAACATTATTTGGTGGACATGAAACGTTCTAAAAACGTTCTTTAAACGTTTTTAGAACGTACATGGTTTTTTGCCCATTGCGCAATATTGCGTAATAGAAAAAAAATGATTGGTATTTCCTGTTTGTGTTTTAACTTATTAAAAATTATTTTGACAATATTGCTATTAGTTTTGTTATAAAAAATATGATGACAAGTTTATAACTTCCTGCAATCGATATCTGTTAATTGCATTTCAGACTTAATTAATTAATTAATTATTTGCTAATGATGCTGATTTAATATATTTAGAGAACAGCGGCCCGAAAAGTGAATGCGGAGTTCTTACTATCGCTTACATCTAAAGTTCTTAGCTCTAATGAGCAAGTATGCTATGTTAGTCTTAACTAAACACATTAAAAATTTGTTTTGATTTTTTTGATCTCAGAAAGAAAACGCATGGCCTTTATCTTAAATTAGTGAAAATATTGTTTTGGACCAATATGTTTTAATTAGAATATTGGTCATCGTATGATTACATTTTAAGATCGTGAGAAAAGAAGATTGTTTATTTAATGTATTTCCTGGAATTATTTTTTAATAATTTTATTTATTAATTTATATAACCTCAAAATGTGGTATAAAAGCAAGCATACATTTGTTAATAATTATTAGTCTTCAATAAACAAATAGCTTGATAGGTTGTGCGTGTTTGTTAAAGAAAAAATTCATTTTTAATTAAAAAAAGACAGAAAAGATGGATTCTATAGATATTCCAAAACTCATTGAAATTATTGAGAGTGCTTATATTATAGTGAAAAATATTAAGAGTAAAAACGGTTATTATCGGAATCGGAAAGGTGGATATACATTAAGGGTTAAGAGCAAGAGACATTTTTGATGGGGAGAAAGATTTATATTCTCCAGTTTTTTTAAATTTCAATGGAGTACGGGCTAAAGTCCACGGTATGGTGAATGGATACTGGATACGACGCATTGACTTGGACTTTGGTGAAATTTTGATAAGTTACCTAGTGGGCAAAAAACCATGTTCGTTTTAAAAATGTTTTGAGGACGTTTTTAGAACGTTTTATGTCCGCCAAATAATGTTCTGGAACATTTTAAGAACAAGGATGTTCAAATAATGTTCCAGAACATTATTTGGCAGACATGAAACGTTCTAATTAAAAATTTTTAAATTTCTTTTTATTAATTATTTAACCTTTATGGGGTACCCGAGTACATTTTGCATTTTAAAATTGAATTTTTTCATAATTTTTAAGTAAAAAACGCGTACCGAAAAATTTACAAGTAGATAAGGGAAAAGAATTATATAATTTACATTTTGTAAATCTTATGAAAAATTATAATATTCATATGTACTCTACTTATAGCAATTTAAAAGCATCAATTTGTGAACGGTTTAATCGTACTTTAAAAAATAAAATGTGGATGCAATTTAGTTTGCACGGTAATTACAAGTGGATATATATATTATCTAATTTAATATCTTCTTACAATAATACTAAACATCAAACTATAAAAATGAAACCAAAAAATGTAACTGCAAAAAATGGAAAACAATTATTAATTAATATTTACAAAAAGAAAAATTTTCCTGTACTAAAGAAAAAATTCAAATTTAATGTAGGAGATAAAGTGTGTATAAGTAAATTTAAGCATGTTTTTGAAAAAGGTTTTACTCCGAATTGGACTACAGAAATTTTTACTGTTAGTCATATAAAAAATACAGAACCCATAACTTACCTTCTTAAAGATTACCAAGAAAATCCAATTAGTGGTAGCTTTTATGAGCAGGAACTCTCAAAAGTTAAATATTCAAATATTTATTTAGTAGAAAAAGTACTTAAAAAACAAGGTAAAAAATTATTTAGGCTTTGATAATACTCAAGCTCACTTACTTCTTTGCAGCCTGCCTCTACACAAGTTGTTTATATTACACTATGTCCAATGCTACCAACTCTACGAATAACTTCGCAAATAGTTGTTGACAAATGTTTCAGATTAAAAGTAATTATATCAACAAATAAAGTCTTAAATTCTAAACTGGATGAAAAGTCATTTTTTCTTTCAAGTCTTATCATTAACGTTTTATAATTTTTTTAATAAAAACTTCAATTTCTTTTGCATTTAAAACATGTCTAGAAAATAAAATTTCAACAAAATATTTTACAATTAACTTGTACACTTCTTTTAAACGCTGTGACGCGGCATTTTATGCTCGTCACAATATTCCTTAATTTTTTTATAGATAAATAGTAAAAAAATATATTCCAGGGTGGGAATCACCATCATTTCTAAAAAACAAATAAAAATCAGTATATTGTCAAAAGTAATAAAATAACAAGAGAATTGTAAAAATATTAGATTAAGCAATAGTTAAATAAAATTAAATAAATACCTGCTGACTCGCCAGATCGATTCAACGGAAACAGTAAATTGTTGTCCACATTATCATTTTATTATTTTTCTATTTCATGAAAAATGGACATTAATCGGAGTAATTCTCCGATTCAACAAAATGAGTCAGTTTTTCCATATCATTAATAATGTTTGACGTACCACAAGGGAAGTGCTTCCTGGTGTATATATTTGGAAGAGATTCCCGAATATTCAAGAGCACCAGGAAGACGAATATTCATTTGTATACTCAGCTGTCACAACATTGGGAGCGGCCATTTTGGATAGAGAGCGCTACGATGCGCCGTGGCACGGTAGCGTTCTACTTTACCCTCCGGATTCATGAAAAATATCAACTCGTGATAAATTGATTATCGATAAAGAAAAAGTTGTAATTAATTACTTTCACCGGGACTCACCTCTAAAAAGAAAGCGCACAAAGAGACGCCGACTAGCGTGACAGGTCAGCCATTTTTAGTCATTCTCATTCTGGAAGTGTAAGAGGCAACAAGCCCGTTTTGATAATAAAAAAAAAATATAATTGTGTGGAAAAATTAAAACAAGTCATGTCAGGACGAGGCTCATTGAGGGGTCGGCGTCGTATAGACGGTGAGTCCCGAGTGTAATAACTAATTTGTCAGCCAGATCGGCATATTATAAAACAATTTATTTTGTATAATAAAATTTCCAATCGTAGTAAAATTTCTCGCGTAATAAAATCACATGTTAAATATTATTCGGCCTTCTGCCGAATACCTTATTAGGAAAATTATTCCATTAAATTAAAATTTATTATGAAACAAATTAAGTGAAGTGTTTACTTGTGTCTTTATCCTTTCCCCCCACTCTCCGCGGGTTATTGGTATCCTACAATGACGTGCTGAGCCAGCAGGCGGATATTATATTATATTCAAATAAATATAGAATGGTTTAGTTATTTTTCCATAAAAATAACTTGGCGTCTTTTAAAAAAATAATAAATTAAAAATAAAGTAACGTGAGATAATAAAATTTAAAATTAATAGTTTTTGGTAAAATTAGAGTAAAAATAACATAAAAATAATCAATCAAGCAAAAATCACGTTATAAATGGCACCCAACTATAGGGCCCGATAGAGACACATTACTTCACTTAATTTTAAACAAACAACAAATATTATAAATTGTGAAAAATTATTTCAATTATAACTGTTCCATAATTTTGTGAGAATTTGTAAAATAAATATATTTGAGTTTTATAAACTCAAATATCTTAGAAAAAAATTTTGAGATTTCAGCTTATACTGAAGAATCAAAGTAAACATAGAAAATAATAATCAAGGTCACAATTCTGTGACTGATAGTACAAATTCTCACAACAAGGATAAATATACACTGATCGAGAATCAAATTCTTAAAAATATTACGGGTAAAAATAAAATTAATCAATTATTAAAATAATTAATTTTATTTAAATAAATTACGAAGGATTTGGCTAAGTCATCGCCGCCTTCTAGTGAAATGAATTGATTGAATTGTGCAATCGGTTCTCGATTGCTACAATATATATTTTTTTTATTATAGCTTAATAAATAATAAATAATATATTTAAAATAAAAATTATGAAAAATATTTTCTAAAATGAATTAAAAATTTAATCTATGTATTCCTGTTCTTATTCCTTCTGCGGACAGTAAAATTATATCCATTTTTTTTGTTTTGACTATAAATGACAGAACAATATTTTTTTTATATTTTGTTTAATACAATACGGTTACTGTGTAGTCGAGGATTGATTGCACAAAATATTATTTTTTTTGTTGTTGACTGAGACTGCTCTTTCACCGAATTTTTCCGACTCCATAATAAATCCCATAGTATAAACAAAAATTCTTTTGTTAAAATGGCGGACCATATAATTGACGAGCCAACAATTTTTGACAATTGGTCTAGAGACCAATTAAACATTTATTTAAACTCAGTTAACGTCAATTCAGAAGGGAGTTTAAAAACCTTACGTGGACGTGCCTACAATGACGTGCTGAGCCAGCAGGCGGATATTATATTATATTCAAATAAATATACAATGGTTTAGTTATTTTTCCATAAAAATAACTTGGCGTCTTTTAAAAAAATAATAAATTAAAAATTAAGTAACGTGAGATAATAAAATTTAAAATTAATAGTTTTTAGTAAAATTAGAGTAAAAATAACATAAAAATAATCAATCAAGCAAAAATCACGTTATAACGCATAGAAAATAAATATTCAAGTCGCTGATCAACACATGGAATAAAATTCTCAAAAATTTTAAACGATACTTCTTTAAAAATAAAAGGGTAATAAAACTGTCTGTCTCTTCTATATTCTAGTGCAACTGCATTTTCTCCATATAAAATTCCAAATCCTAGGTGATAATTACAGCATTTTATTTCTTGAGAAGTTTCTTTACCATTAAAATATGCTCCTATAATCTTAATACCCTGGCGGATTTGAATTACCTAAATTCGACACAACTGGGGCGAATCTAAGTCGAATTTAGGTAATTATCAAAAAAAAGCTTTAAATTGATGAAAATTTATCAAAATTAGTATTGTGAGGTTAAATGAACATTTATAGAGTTAATTTTTGTAAGAATTTTAATTATTAACGTGATAAATAATAAATAATCCCTTGATATGTGCAAGTGGTTACTGTAGATTTTAACTCGTTGTCAGTTTTCATAATATTTTCAAGAAATTAGTGTAAAATGTGTGAAAAAATAATTTACATTTAATAGAAATTGCAAATTTTATTAAATTATTTTATTATTTATCGAGCACAGTTTAAAATAATTGCAATTTAACTTAAAAAAAAAATTTTTCTTAAAAGTGATAAGAACTCTACTATACCGACAGCAAGAGGATATTTTTAAACAAAAATTCTACGAATAAAACAAAAAACCAGGAAGTTATAAACTTGTCAACATATTGTTTATAACAAATCTAATCACGATAATGTCAAAATAATATTTGACACGTCAAGACAGGAAATACCAAACATTTTTTACAGTTGCGCAATCATAATATTCGACAAAAATGTCGTTAATATCGGTAAGAGATTCCTACTATCCAGAACGCCCACAGCCTATCTACTCAAGTTGCATTTCAATTCATTTTCTTGTAAAACAACTGTTTTCATTTCTATCCAATTGAGCACCTGGAAATAAGAACTCGCCAAGCGCTCGGCTGCACGCTACAAAGCCAGTCAAACATACAAAAATGATGAAAAAATAAAATTCGAAATTTTTGATTTTTGAAAAATGCTATCTAGTACACTGTAACAAGTCCAAACAGAATTTTCCTAAAGATAGGAATTTTACTTTTAAGAATTCCTGGCACAAATACTATATTAAATGCAGAAATAATACAGGGTCCAAAATGGAAAATACAATATTTGGTAATTTTACTATTTCGAATATTGGGATTTTTCATTCCTCGGCGAAATTCTTTCTACTATGAACTTCCCCGCAGACTTTTTGTCGGCGAAGATAAATGAGTATGATTACCGACAGATATTTGTTTATAATTAAAAATTGGTCAACAATTGAAAAAATTTCAACATTTTTTTAGACTATCCTCATCTATGGACCTAAAAGCAGAAGTATGCAAAATCTCATTGGAATTGATTAATATTTCTCGAAGATACGATGATTTATGTTTAAAAATTGAATGAAATTTGGAAATAAAATTTTTTTTATTTTTTTCATTTATTAAATAAACTATTCATTTGACGAGAAAAATCCAGAGGAAAAAAAGATGTGCATTTTCATTTCCTACAAGATATCATTTTTCAAAAATCAAAAATTTCAAATTTTATTTTTCCATCATTTTTGTATGTTTGACTGGCTTTGTAGCGTGCAGCCGAGCGCTTGGCGAGTTCTTATTTCCAGGTGCTCAATTTAATTCTTTGAAAATTTAGTGTAGAAAATGTTAACACTTAAATTGTTATCCTAACAGCGTAAACTAAAATCAGATTAAAACAGTATAATTCTGGAAATTACTAAAAAGTTAAAATCATTTTAATTTATTTGATCAAAATACGAATTGTAGCAAATAAATCTAATTTAAGGGGGGAAACTCGTGTAAAAAAGAATTTTTTACACTTTTTTTTGCTTTAAAAATTAGTTTACTATCTGTAGAATATGAATTAATCTATAATTAGATGTATGAATGTTTATAGCATACATAAGTTTAGCACTCCTGATGCTACCAAATGCTGTTAACGATGAGCACAAGATCGCCCTATTCTTTCGGTTTCTTGTGAATATAATTTTATTAATTGTCAGTAGCAAGCACTATTAGCAAATGATAGTAAATCTTGGTTTTAGTGCAATAGCTATTTTCGAATACACAACGTCTTCAAGGCAATAATAGTTAAAACACTACTTTTTTGTATCGAAAACTGTAAACGCATTTTTTTCAAAACGTGTTTTATCGCTCGCCGTGCAATGCAGCTCAGACAATTTTTAACCGATTTTCATGAAACTTAATAGAAATCTTCCTTAACTTACTGGCTATTTTTGTAGATTGTTTTTAAAAAATCTATTAAAAAATTTTTTTTTTAAATGGTCACAAATTTTTTTAACTTTCTTTCCTCATACCGTATTTCGACGCCTCCTATTCATATAATGCTTATTAAAATAACAAAGCAAGATCGTTCTTATTAAACTTTTTGTGCAGTATTATTCTTACAGAAATTTCAGTGCAGGATAATTCTTATTTAAAATCACGTGCAAAACAATACCTACTCCCAAGCAGCACGATATATTCCCTGAATATCCCTTGAATACCACAGTAGAATATTCTCATGATCTTCTAGGAAAATAAAATGTCCGCATCATAGGAATATTCCACAGTGACATTCATGGAACATTCCAGTGACATTAAGTGGATATTTAGGTGACATTGTGGGAATATTCCACAGTTACATTGAATTTGTTTTTAAATCTGTTTTTAATCTTCCTGCTTATTCAAATAACAATTTATAACACATTTCTATTATTTCAACACTTTAAAAAAATTCAATATAAGCGTGGAATATTCCTGTAATATTACCCTTAATTTTAGTGGAATATTCCTTTAATATTACCCTCAATGTTACTGGAATATTCCTTTAATATTACCCTCAATGTTACTGGAATATTCTCTGAATGTCACCGTGCAATATTTTTATGAGGCGGACATTTTGATTTTCCAGGAAGATCATGGGAATATTCCACGGTGGTATTAACAACATGTTTTGA